TCATGCAAACACATAAGTATGCCAATATACAGAATCAGACATTCATGCAAACACATAAGTATGTCAGTATACAGAATCAGACATTCATGCAAACACATAAGTATGTCAGTATGCAGAATTAGACATTCATGCAACGAATTTATAGCATGACTGATAATTAGCTGTAAATAGCTTACTATCTAATGCATTTCCCCATGTGATTGTCCGCGGAACCTCAACTTTAGAATGCAGTCCCTTTTTGTTATTCAAATAGAGTAAAAACCTCTTTAACAGAAACTCGCTTAAGACGAACACTCGGTTAACGTGATACAATTTTGGTCCCAGTGGTGATCTGTTATTAGTCTCTGGTTGTTAGTACGAATGTTTTAACACGAACTCTGCCCTTTTAGTCCATGGATCTCGTTTTAACGAGTTTTCACTCTTTATAGATTGCAATAAGCTCTTCAGTGGCGATTTAATTGTTAAAAAGTATGAGGTCCCTGGTAAACGGTCTTCTTCCACTTCTACTTCGTGTTTACCAGCTGTAAACTCCAGCGGGAAGTTTTAGTTGTTCGACCACATCTGGACTTTAGTCTTGTCCCGGAGTTTGAATTTTGTGTGCACTAACGTTTTTACAGATCTGGCTTATTTATGTGTAGATTGTAATGCACTCCGACTTCGAAAAAAAAAAATCCATAGTTAGTCTACTTTTCCGACATGGGTTACTGTGTCTATTCTTTATTTCCCCAAAATGGGACTTTGGAAGGACGCAGACCTTGGAAAATAGAGCTGTCCCTAGATCCTTGAGCAATCATCTGTTGAAAGACGTTATGTACTTCCCTAGTCCTGAAGGAACAGATTTTCTCACCTGAGCACTGGCCCACGAGGTGGCCGTGTTTCCATACCCATAGCATCTTCCTTGGAAGTAGGTCCATCCTTGAGAACATTGCTGGCAGGCACCTGCAACATAACAGGCGGATGAATTCAGGGACGCTGACACACAGAAAACATGGGGAAAGCCTCTTATAATTTACTAGGGGTACGCAGGAGAGCGTCTAGACACTACATCAAGGCTGCTCCTTGGTTAAGACAGGCTGGTCAAGTTATAGAGCCTAAACTATTATTGTGCGTCACATTCCAAGTGTTCAATGTACATAGAACTCACAGAGGTGGTCAACATTTAGATGCAGTCTTCCACTGAGAGGGAGTCGCCGTGGCCGAGCGGCTAGACGCTCGCCGCGGATCGGAAGGTCGTGGGTTCGCTCACCTGCGCAGTCGGACTTTTTTCAAAATTGACCTTGGCTCCCAGGTCGACCCAGACTTGTGTGGGTACCGGGTGCAGTCCCGGGAAGTAAAGGCGGTCGGCGTGATGCTGACCACATCACCTATCTTGTGCCGATAAGTAAAGTAAAGTAAAGATCCCTTTTCACGCCTTTATTCGTATCGGGCATATGGGAAGAGCAACCATATTTTTACAGACCATCAGCACTCGGTGGGTAATGTGGTCAGCATTACGCCGGCTGTCTTTACTTTCCCAGGACAGCCCATCATGGTACCCATTTTAGGCTGGGTCGACATGCGACGCCCCATACCATGATAAAAATCCGCGCAGCCTGCAGTGGGTTCCGATCGTGGTGCGCTAGTTTACGAGTCGGACTCGCAAGGCATAAGCCACGGACGCCGCACTTGTGCCGATTGGTCTATAAAAATATAGGCTTAGCCCTATATGCCCTATACGTCTAAAGGCGTGGAAATGTGTCCTTTATTTACTTACTTACTTACTTACTTCCATTGAGAATGTGTGGTGACCGTCTGATCAAGGTCGATAACGTCAACTTCCAGAGGTGGTCAACACAAGGAGGTGGTCAGCTTTGAAGATTGCGCTGTATCTTCAAGGACACCTTCATGGAACATGCATTTTGGCACCATGTGAACGTGGTTCATTTAACAAAATCGAGGCTTGTGAATTTAAAATGTTACAGAAAAATTCTTAGAACCGAATGTTGAATTAAGAATCGACATCGCAGCATTTGGGAGACTCTCATAAGCGCTTCGTCCCTATCTTCAGCAGTAAGTGATGAAACCAGTAACTGTCTGATCGTATATCGTCTTTCTTTTCCCTTGAGAGTTGAGCGTCGGTCAGATCCCCTGGTCCATTCACATGAGAACGTAATGATCTATTTGTGCATCCGTACTGTTCACTCTTTCCCAAAGTACCCTTACAATATCTAGCTTGTCCTATATCAATTCACCAAGTAGTGCAGAATCAACCAGACTGCCTATTCGTTTCCCAACACTCCCGCATGCCCTGGAAAAAGATCCAAAGGACGCTAACCATCATGCGTCACTGCAATGTCAAACATTGAAGTAGCAGTCCCTAAGTAGGTATTTTAAAACATAAAAATTTAGTTAAAATTGTATTTCCTTTTTTCAACTAGGCATTCTTATTTAAGAACATACTCTTACCCAGACTAACCAATGCAGCGAACAAGAAGAAAGTTAACTGTGACATTTTACGCATGGTTAAACCGTTACTTCTTGTGACACGCAGATTCCAGTTCACCTCCGTCTCCACTTTTGTCTGTTAACTCACTTGAACACAGTTTTTGTAAAGGCGCTGTGGCTACTTTATAATGACTGACTCACTGTAATAGTTACATCTTTAGCTCAGTGTTTCTCAGACTGTCTAGGCGCAGGAGCCACTTAGATAATAACGAAACCCAGAGAACACTTGCTTTAAATAAGAATTTCCCTATGTGGGTTCCGATGCCCTATGAGGTGGTGGTGGTGGTGGTGGTGGTGGGGGGGGGGGTGCAAGAGTAAAACCCTGCTCCCCTCCTCCGCCCCAACAAGCATGTCATAAAAGGCGACTAATTATGGTTGTTTCCTCCGAAGACAGAAGAGTCACCTGCCTCGGTAGCGAGGAACTGTTGGCCCTAGTATCTGTCAGTCAGTATCATGACACTTGCCGAACCTTGCTCCCATAACAAGCCTCCAGAAAACTTCTCAATAACAAGCAAGGTATCCCGAGTCAGATACACATGTCTGGAGATCATCCGCCACATCATGCACCCATCTTCTCTTTGACCTTCCTCTTCCTCTCTTCCCAGGCATATAAAGGTTAGTTGCGTATCCTTTACAAATTAATAAAGTAACAGAAAGTGAACAGCACTCATAGAAAGAAGTAGAAAGATAGAAGAACACACTAGACAACATAAAAATCGAAAGCTATAGCTACCGTGCCGGGAATTGAACCTGTCACCTCCAGACGGCTTCTGCGCCTCGCCATGAATACAAGTGCACTAAGATACATGATCAACTAGGCACCCCCAAAAAAGGTGTCTTATTTGCCATGTCTATCGTACAGCTTGAAATCCACGACTATGGAATACGGACAGAATTAATTTCAACCCATTGAAATGGCACCATAGTATCTTAGTGCACTTGTATTCATGGCGAGGCGCAGACGCCGTCTGGAGGTGACAGGTTCAATTCCCGGCACGGTAACTATAACTTTCGATTTTTATGTTGTCTAGTGTGTTCTTCTATATTTCTACTTCTTTCTATGAATACTTTCTGTTACTTGATTAATTCATAATATTTAACGGCCTCAAATGGTTCCCCCCCCCCCTCTGTTTATTTATAGGAATGACGTATCCTTTACAGGACGTTGCAGAACCAGCCCTAACAGCCCCTGGCCGTTGTGTGTGGTTTTTACAGGCAAATTTACGTCCAGTAGTTTGCCACTGCTTCTGGACGGTCGGCTTTCTTGATACCACTGTCGAAACCAACGCAAGGCGCATGGCCCGCAGCTGTAATCGAACCTGGCATTACGAATCGTTCGCATCGACTTAGCCACAGAGCCGACTCCCAGGCATATACTCCTCCATTATTGTTCTCTCTAAACTTTCGTGACATTTCAAGTGACCAACATTTTTAAATTGTATGTGTTTTATCGTCTTTAATAGCCAAACTTCTTCAGTATTCAGTTCTTGAAGTATAGGTGCATTTGTTCTTTTCTTTACCCATGGTAAGTAGTGTATAAGTCGTTTACAGGTATTATTTGAGAAATCGATCTCTCTTTATCCTTAGTAAAAGATGGCGGCCAAAAGTGATTGGTTCTTTCTGGCGGGTTTATATATCCTTAGTAAATATCGATCGGGGCACCCGCCCTCTTTGTCCTTAGTAAATATCGATCGGGCGGTTGGTGACAGCACAAGTGACGGGTTTTCTCGGGCGGGGAAAGACATATGGTGCATAAATCGATATGTTGTCTCCATAGCAACTGGTTATTCATTGTCGGTATGTCGGTATGTGGGTATTTTTTTTTATTAGTTTCATAACGGCAGGTGACAGGTGGCGTTATATAAAGGGTGAGATCAGGGAGCCGTTTTAGACTTGCGATAAAGAAAACCTAGGAAGGCGACGTGGTGACCGGGGATATATTAGAAAGGGCAGTTTGGGCGCCAGCATCATCATCATCTGTATCATGGTAGCGAAGGTCGACCGCTCATGGATGGTTTGAGCTGTAGTAAAAAAGGACGACAGAATGCTGAGTGTCTGGTAATACTGTGGAGGGTCGAAGAGAAGGGGCATAATTGGCAGACTATCTGACTTTGTAAATAAGTGGGCGAAGGTTCTGATTGGTCAGTAGGCTTCAGTGGTTACTGTGCTGGAACAGTCGATTTAGGAAAAACTCGGCAGTTGGTGTCGCTCAACGGGGTACGCCCGCCCGTACGCACGCACACACGCACGCCCGCGGGGGTCGTTTTAGGGGATAGATACAGAAACCTAGGAAAGTGGTTTGATGGTAGGGAGAAAGTGGGGCTGGGGCGCCATCATCATCATCATCCGCGTCGTCGTAAACTGTCCTTTTTCTTAGTAACGTTAAACAGTTTGAGAATAGTTTTCAAATCGATAAAAGTAGCTGTTTGGAAGCAGACACTATCATTATAAGTTATGGACCCGCGGTGGAGGCATCCCTTTACCTCTCTGATAGCCGGACCTACCGGTAGCGGTAAAACTGTATTTGTGCAGAAGTTTTTAAAACATTTGAACGCTATGGTCGACCCGGTGCCGGAGGAGATTATTTGGTGCTACGGAGAATGGCAACCTCTGTATGAAAACATGGAGGGCGTCATCTTTAACGAAGGTCTTCCGGATATGGAACAATGGCAGGGAGATAGACGACGTCTAGTGGTCATAGACGATTTGATGTCTGAGACGGACGACAGAATCACTAAACTATTTACTAAAGGCAGTCATCATCGGAACATCAGCGTGATTTATATTGTACAAAATCTTTTTGGAAAAAATAAAGAACAAAGAACCATCAGTTTGAACGCGCATTACCTGGTAGTTTTTAAAAACCCTCGTGACGGTTCACAGATCACCAACTTGGCCAAACAGATGTATCCCGGCCGCGTTTCCTATGTCCAAGAAAGCTTTAAAGACGCGACGGCTAACCCCCACGGTTATTTGCTGTTCGACCTCCGACAAGACACCCCAGACCAGCTCAGACTACGCAGCGAAATATTCCCCGACGAGAAACGAGTAGTGTACGTACCTAAATAATGTCTGACAAGCTAAAGCGACACGGCGAGATGCTGCGTTTTTTGTGCGAGGCGAAAGCCCACACAGCCAAAGACATCATAAAAACCGCCTCACCGGAGCTCGTACAGACACTTTGTGACAGTTGTCACAACGTATTAAAAGGTAATGTCGCCCTGACATCCGATCAGAAGAGACGTTTGTGTCGTTACAAAAACAACCTCAGAGCGCTCACCAAAAAGAAACTTTCAATCAAAAAGCGAAAAGAGATTTTACAACACGGTGGGTTTCTCGGGGCGTTATTAGCGCCAATACTAAGTGTGGTAAAAGGTATCTTGGGTTTCTAACCATGGCCAAGAAAATGATATTGATCGACCCGCGTATGATGGACTCTGTGTTTCAAAAACAATATGTACCACCCGATACAGTCAATGATAGCCTACGTGATTTGGATACTCATATGCAACATGTGCTGGAAAATGAAGAGCTGTCGCCTCGTGACAAAGCCCGACTATATCAACAGACATTACAACGTTACTTGACTCGTCTGGATCATTACCGACACAAGTCATTGGGCGTAGTGGATATTAAAACGCCCACAGAAACCCTACCGTCGCCGCCACTACCAGTAACACTAAAAACAGAAGACAACGAGTCAGTGAGTCATTCACCGTCGCCGGCTAAAACTGTCAAGAAGACAGCTGACTCTGAGACACCAGCGGTCTCGTCGTATAAACTGAGACGAAGAAACAAAAAATCTAAAATACCCACACCCAAGTGGGAACAATGGCCGCGCAACTGAAAAAACTTTACTATGATCCGAAACAACCAGGGGCCTATAGTGGGGCTGTAGCCTTAAAACGACACGCAAAAGTGCCAACTAAACAGATCAAAGATTGGCTCAGTCATGAAGATACATATACCTTACATAAACCTATACGGCGACATTTTAAGAGACGTCCGATTATAACCAGTGGACTCAACCAACAATTCCAAGCTGATCTGATAGATATGAGATCTTTACGAAAAGACAACGACGGTATGGCGTACTTGGTTACTTGTATAGACGTGTTCAGTAAATATGCTTGGGCCATTCCCATAAAAAACAAAACTGGAAAAGCTTTAGTGGAGGCGTTCAGTAAAATATTTACCAAGCGGCAGCCAATGAAACTGCAAAGTGACAAAGGGTCCGAGTTCCTTAATCGGACGTTCTTAAAGTTTCTTAAAGACAAGGGCGTGCATTTTTTCACGACAGAAAATGAAGATGTTAAAGCGGCGGTGGTGGAAAGATTTAACCGCACCTTGAAAGAAAAAATGTGGCGTTATTTCACCAAAACCAACAAGCACCGTTATATCGATGTGTTGGAGTTCTTTTTGCGAAATTACAACCATTCCTATCACCGCAGCATTCGTATGGCCCCCGTGGACGTTAACCGGCGTAACCAAGAGCAAGTATGGCAGACACTGTATTCGGATGTCGACAGCCCCGGCATACCTGTGTTTAAAGAAGGTGATCGTGTGAGACTCGCGCAGGCCAGGCAGATATTCAAGAAAGGTTATATGGCTTCCTGGACCGAAGAGCTGTTTACCGTCAGCCACGTCAACAGAACCAACCCGGTAACTTATGTGCTAAAAGACGATTCGGGTGAGGAACTCCGCGGGTCGTTTTATAAGGAAGAAATACAGAAAGTTGGCGACAAAGAAATTTATCGGGTGAAAAAGATTTTACAAGAACGACGAGGAGCCCGTGGTGGTAAAGAATATTTAGTCAAGTGGTTTGGGTATCCGACCTCATTCAACAGCTGGATAGCAGACCAACAACTAGAGAGGTACGAAAATTAGTGTTATGGAAGCCGTTGATGAAGTGGATGAAATTACCGTCTTTGCAACAGAAACAGAAGCTGAAGGTAAACGACCTTGGTTCAGTAAACTACGGCCGCGACCTGAGGTTGTTTTCATCTCTCAGATGGT